AAGATTATCAATTAAAGTACACAGGAAAAAGCCAACCTGAACCTTCAAAATGGCAGGGAGGAGAAGTGGGTAAGAATGATGCGAGAAAAACATTGGTTATAATAAGGGAAAAACCGATTCCAAGAACTTTGTAACCAAGTCATTTCTCGAGGTGAATGCCGTAATAAGAACATACTGAAAAAAAAAAAAACGTATAGAAAGAAGCTGCCTTCATCGGACATATCTGGGTTTTTTGTTGTTGTTGTTGGACATTGTCCAAAGTTCGCCCTCTATTTTAAGCTGTAAATGTATCTGGGGAACTTTTTTTAGTTACCATGAGAGTACCACTATTCATTGTTGCTATTTTTTAGCCTCTCGTTGGATGCATATTTTCTATGAAAGCTGTTTATTTCGCATATTTTCACCTATTAGAAGACATCACACTTTACTTATGATGGCTAGAGTGCGACTTGTTAAAGGTATCTTTCTGGATGGCTCAGGTACCCCAAGATCATTCATATTCTTTTGTTTTCTAATGTCACTAAGTGCAAGAGATCTACTTGTGTTGAGAATTCTAAATCCCCGATCTGAACAGATCGTATGATCCGAGTGAAAAGGGCCATTAACAGTTCTTCCCAAAAGCGATGAATTTTCGGTGGCATCACGCTATCCACAAAACACCAAACAATGCCAAAATACAAATCCAGTATATGAAATCCCACCGCGACTTTATGTCGGCTTTGGTTGTAATGTTACTTGTTGAGTAGTATACAAAGTCGTTTTAATATAACTTACTCAACCCTCTGTATATGAACTGCTTTGTTGACTGACAACAATGGTGTTTTACAAGGTTAGTAAACAGTGCAGTATAGAAAAACCTGATCAACAATATGAAAGTGATAACTATTGTTTCACTAAAACATAACTAACCATACAAAGCTTCAAACGGTTTAATATTGATATATTCACTCAGAATTGTTGTTCTATGACTAATATTATCCATTTTGTTGATGTTCGAACACGCAAATAACCTATAAAAGAGCCCTGTATATTAACTGAAATCCAGAGTTATAACACTGACTTGTGAGTAACAGGTTTGGTTTGTTCTGAATTTCGCGCAAAGCTACACGAGGGCTATCTGCGCTAGCCGTCCCTAATTTAGTAGTGTAAGACTAGACGTAAGGCAGTTAGTCACCAACTCTGGGGCTACTATTTTACCAACGTCACATTATAACGCCCCCACGGCCGAAAAGGCGAGCATGTTTGGTGGGACTGGGATTCGAACCCGCAGCGTGCGAGTCGAGTGCCCTAACCACCTGAACATGCCGTACCCCGATGATTAACAGAGAATGTTACAGACATTATTTAAGTGTAGGTTAGAAAGTTGAGCTTAAAGATCCCTCCCCCTGCTGACATAATATTCTTATATTCGCATAATCGTTTTAGTGATTGGGGGCGTGGCATATTGGTTAGCGTGCCGGGCTGTGTTCTGGAAAGTTCAAGCCCAACATGGGCAGCTGAACACGCTCCGCACTTTCAGATGTGGGATCCTTATAAAAGTGACAGGCAATTCCGTTAGAAATAGCCGTATAGGGGGTGCAGGGTGGGGCAGAAGGAGCAGCTGCACTAAGGCCCAACCACTTGCGACCCCCTAACAAAAATCAATTTTGAAATTTCATGCATTGTATGCACTTGTATTTATTAGGGGGGAACAAATGCTATTCTACTGCCCCAGGTCTCATCTGACCTAAATTCGCCCCTGAGAGGGAGAATGCTGTTGATTGGTTGCTCTCTCTCCAATCAACACCGAGATCTAAATTAAACCTTGTGGTCTGTGAAGTTTCGAGATAACGTTCAAGTTGAAACTATTAAGTAAGTTGCGGTGGTATAGTTTGGATTATCTACATTCTACCAGATTATTTTATTCAACTTTTACGCACAGCTTGTCTCAACAAAGAAACAATACAATGACTTTCATTATGAAATATGAATATTTTCAGAACTTTATCTAACTAATGTGTGATCCTGGAAAAAAAAAATCAATACCACCGCTTACACAGAAAGACCGCGAAAACTGGTTGTTTTTTTTAAAGTGCATAGGCACACTGGACTATCTGCTGTGTCAGCCGCGTGGAATCGAACCCCGGGTTTTAGGGTCGTAAGTCTGTGAACTTACCGCTGTCCCATCGGGGGACCGCGAAAAAGTGATCTAGATGTTGAAAGATAAATGTAACCTTTTTTTTTTAAATTAGACGAATGACTACACATAAATTTACAGCTACAATGACCAGAAAACACGTACGCACGTGCTGTAGACGGTCGTGCCTCTTAAATTGTGTATCAGGTAACTCTAAATAACCTGTACACTTATAAAACATTCACGATACACGAAGATTTGAAATCCTACTATACGTAAATTCATACAGATTTTTTTTTTTTACTTTGTCACGCTTAGGTTATGTCTGTTTCAATTCTTCTCGCCTCGGTCTTGTCGTCACTTAGCGGTTGGCATCCCGCGCTATGGATCCAAGGTTCGGGTTCCGTTGTACCAAAACATCGCACCATATGTAGGTTATAAGGGACCATATGTAGGTTACAAGGGACCATATGTAGGTTATAAGGAACCATATGTAGGTTACAAGGAACCATATGTAGGTTTTAAGGAACCATATGTAGGTTATAAGGGACCATATGTAGGTTATAAGAGACCATATGTAGGTTACAAGGGACCATATGTAGGTTACAAGGGACCATATGTAGGTTATAAGGAACCATATGTAGGTTATAAGGGACCATATGTGGGTTATAAGGGACCATATGTAGGTTTTAAGGGACCATATGTAGGTTATAAGGAACCATATGTAGGTTAGGTTCCTTAAAACCTACATATGGTCCCTTAGGTTCCTTATAACCTACATATTTGTAACCTACATATACATATGGTCCCTTATAACCTACATATGGTTCCTTAAAACCTACATATGGTCCCTTGTAACCTACATATGGTCCCTTATAACCTACATATGGTCTCTTATAACCTACATATGGTTCCTTATAACCTACATATGGTCCCTTGTAACCCACATATGGTCCCAAGGTTACAAGGGACC